ATTTCCTCGGTTTCCTCCTGGTGGGAATACTTATTACATAGGCTTTGTGTGTTTTAGTCGGTTGGTTCCTCGGTACCGGCTTGTTTTGTTTGTATGATCGCCATTGTTGAAAATGACTCGCGAAGACGGACCAGCTAGAAGAGCACTGGGACCTTTTTTCCACCTGGATCCCCGCTCTTTTTCGTCCACATCTAGTTCCTCATTGTCCCTCTTGCGCTGTGTCATGGAATAACATGAAATAACATTGACCACGCTTCAAAATTAGGCATAAATCAAAAATATCTGCGTTATATACACACACTGCTGCGGAAGGATAAGCAGCCCTTAAGCCACCCGTGGAGGATCAGGAATCAGAAAGGTGAAATAACTTTTTTTTTCACTTTTACCCGATGTATTCCAGCATCCAGCTGCCATGCACGTGGGCATTGTCAGTTTCACTATAGCTCTGGTGAATTTCAATGGTGAAGTCCTCTGGAAATCTTCAATAATTGTTGTTGATTGCAGATGTGTCTAGTAGTTCCCATTGATTTAGCTTGTAAAGCGGGGAGAATGGCGCTAGGCTAACCGCACCGTGACGTCACTGCTGGAAGATGGCAGGAGGGAGGGGTTACTATTAGGGGTGTAAACCCATCATGGCGATTCGATTAGGGCTGCAACAACAAATCAATAAAATCAATAAAAATCTACTTATAAAAGAGTTAGCAACAAATTATTCATTGATTAGTTGTGTTGCGTGATTAATGCGTCATCCACCGCCATCACTGCCACTTGATTGAAAAGGGGAAAAAAATACGACAGAGCGAGCCAGAGCAAAGGTGAGCAAAGGCTGTTTTCAAAAGGCAGTAACGTCAACTGTTCTAATGAGCGATACCACAAACACAGTTCGAGCAAAGTCCTCTAAAGTTTGGGAGCATTTTACGCTTTGTAAAGCAAAAAAAGTCGTAACATGCAACTTTTGCAAAAACAAATTAACATGGCACGGAAGCACCACTGTTATGACGCAGCACCTGAAAAGAAAACACGTTGGAGCCTTCAATGGCAGTGAAGAGAGCTGATCAGCAGGATGAGCGGCCATGTTTGTTTCATTTTAAAGTGGGGAAACGTAACATTAGTTTCTCAGGTAGCTCATCTGATGCTTTCCTTACCGTGTTAGTAGGTTACAGACAGTGATAAGGTTGGCTACTTATTTTACTTTTAATTTCATTTGAATTAGCTTAAGCAGCGTTTATATTTTCTTTATAAATAAATTAACTTGCAAATTATGAGGGCAAGACTTTTAAAGTTTAAATCTTCTGGCAAAGATAAAGTAAAGATCCTGCATAGGGCTGGGCGATATAGAAAAAAAGCTTATCGATAAAAAAAAATGCATATTGATCGATATCGATAATTATTGAAAAGATTTGAAACCATATTTTATGTGCAGCTCTGCCTGGACGTTTTATAATATTGCTAAATGATTTAATTTAATAAAAAACACAAACACAGACTTCCAATTAAATATTTATTTAACCAACTTTTTTTAACAATATCAGAATTGTTTTAAAGAAAAATAACTTAAGAGACCTGAGTTATGTTATTAAATACTGACAAAGAATAAACTAAAGTGACCAAAAGTCATTTTACAGATGACTGTGGTTTGTTTTTTGTCCGACTTGCCATGACCGAAATACTGCCAAACTGGCGAACTAAAAAAACCCTTCTTTGGAACAATTTCCTCCGCCTCTCCTTGCTGCACATCTTCATGTGCTCTGTGTTGTGGTTTGAGAGGGCGGCGCTTTGTGACGGCGTGCCTGGGTCCGCGATTGTGATTGGTTGGGAGGAAGTAGTGACTAGCATAAACCTACATGCTAGGCTACAATGAGAAGGAAGGAAAACTGCGTTTCTTTATCGAACTTTTATCGACTCTCTTTTTTTCTATTGCGCCACACGTCTATCGATCAATATAAATCGTTATTGAATTATCGCCCAGCCCTAATCCTGCAATTTATGGAAGTAAAGCAGAATCAAATCCAGCAAGATCAGTAATATGTCAATTCATTTTATGCCACATTCCCATGTAAATATCTGTCTTTGGAGGATGTGTTTTTTAGCACCCCTAGTTCTCTCATTTTTTTTTCCAAATACAATTTATAATCTGAATCACAGGGCTATTTTTATCTCTATGGTTCAGTATTTTCTCAAGTAGCAACTTTAACTGCTATACTTTCCTGTCTTAAAAGGCAGAACTCTTCTAGTCTAAAAAAACCTCATTTGTTGAAATGGGAGACAAATTTGAAGAGTTAATTCAGAAAGTAAATCAAAATATTTGTATTTTACAGTAATGGAAAATGAATGAGCAATTAACTGAATATTTAAAATTTAAATGGCACATCAAAAAGAATATTAGAATTTTTTAAATTAAGACTACAACTTTTCATTTATGTCTATAGAATGATAAATGAGGAAGTTTCAAAAATGCAAAACTACTGCAGAACTCAATCTTTGAGAAAAAATATTTATAAATCAAAACATTTCTAATTATTTACACAAAGCATTAAATAACGTTAAAAAATTTTAAATTCTAATTATATGCTGCAGGGGTGTAATTCAACAGTGTCCTTCTCATTACAGAAGAAGGATCCTGGAACTTCAACACCCTCTGAGCGTCTTTGCTCTGCAGCAGGAAACATAGCCTCCAAAAAAAGAGCCATTCTTAGCCAGGAGCACGTCGACATGCTAACCTTTTTGCTTTTCAATGCCAAGTTCCTGAGTAAAGCCAGTTAGTGACTGTGTGCAACTCTGGGTGACTAAATTAGTGTCATGGAAGGCTATGTTTATTTGTTCTATATATTGATAGTATTATTAAGCAAACAAATTCTGTTATTGAGTTTTGTTGTGTGGATATATTTATCCTATTGTTATTTGTTATTATTAGTTTTATATTATTGCAAATGGATAAAAATGCCTGTCTTTTTTTGCGCTTTATGAAACAAAGTACCTTCTATTTTGTGGATGTATAGCTACATTTCTCATGTAAGTTTATATAGTTTTAACAAAAACATTTATTTTTCATATTGCAACAGTACAGTTAATGAGCAACCTGTACTTGTGTGCTTGTTTGTTCTGTCTAAAATGTTTATTTTGGAATAAAGAGGTTAATATTAAAAATATTTTTTGTCTGATTCATCGATTAATCGAAAAAAAATAATCGGCCGATTCATCGATTTTTAAAATAATCGTTAGTTGCAGCCCTAGATTAGATTCAGTATCAATTTCCTGACCCAACGATTCGATTATTTTCAATACTCGAGAATACACCACGATTCGATTTGATTAATGGGTAAATTTTTTTTTTACCTTACAATGTTTTAAATTTGAAATAAATCAATGAAAGCTGTAATATCGTCATGCATTTTATTTAAGAAACAACAGGAACTAACAGAAGTAGCACAGCTGTACTCCACCTAGGCCTATGAAAACCTCATTCACTGAAGAAGAATAATAAGGCCTCTGTGTTTATGCGAGTGTGTGTGTGCATTAGAGACTGACATTTTGGAGTCAGTATTAGTAACAATCACGTGATTGGGACGGTACAGGATTAAACATTAACGGGAGCAGACGGGAGCGGGAGCAAACCAATAGTAACTAAAAAAAAACTAGGATTGATGCCAAAAAATAAAATAAAATAGAAAGAAAAAAAATCCAGTACTGGCGCCGCCATTTTGTAGTTTTTTTCCTTGAAGCCTACACTATAATGCGAATCAAAAAAACTACATGACCCAAAAACCAACAGTGCTTCTGCTCTGAGTTTTTCACCCGCGCTCAAAAACAACAATGGAGGGACCAACAGTTACTACAGTTAGAAACAGGAACTTAACTGACCCTTCATAGAAATTCAGATTCAATGTATTGGCAGAAATCTTATTGAAGACAACAAGAATGGGAGTGGTGCAGGAGCAGGGGTCATTCTGAATGGGAGTGGGAGTAATTTCACCAGGAGTGGGACGGGACAGGATTTAGATTTCTATTCTGGCGCGGGATCGGGACGGGACACCATTTTTTTCTGTGGGAGTGGGACGGGACAGGAGTGAAAATCCACTCCCGTGTCAGTCTCTAGTGTGCAAGCAGAAAGAGGGTAGGGAAAAGTAAGCGCGGTAGGAGAGCAAAATAGGTTTAGCGCCACCGCAGCACGGGAGTCAGGATTACGTCCAGGAGTGAATGGATAAAAATAGACCGGAGGAAAAAAAACAAAAACATGAATCGATACTCTTGGAGACATGTCGATGCATCGACACAGAATTATTATTATTTATACTTCTAGTTACTATATTTGGGCAAAAATGGCTGCTCACAAACTTAATGATCGCAACGAAAATTATTGCTTTTATTTCTTTACTTATTAACGCTAAATTCATTAAATTACCACAAACGTATTAGTTTCAGGTATAAATAATGAACCATTGGTTATTCCTTACTGACTGAACTTTTCCTTTAATGAGGATGAAACTGACCCTGTAAATTTAGTCTGACAAAATGCTCAAATTATAATGCTTAAATTCAACAGTAAAGCTTTTAAATTTTACAAACTAATAGTTTGAAATGTGTAAAAATAATAAATATTTTGAAATTTTAATGAGACCGTCTCAAGCTGATTTTTAAAATAAGGATTAAGGCAATAAAAGGCGCCTCACGCCCTTTATCACCTTTCCCCAGAAAACGGGATAACACACTTGTCCAGTGTGACGCCTTTATCACGTTTTCAGGGAAATGAAACCAGCCGTTTTATCCCGGCTGTTTGTCCAGTGTGACGGAGCCAGAACCACAACGGACGGAGGATTTATTTGACTGTCAATAAGTTCAAACTGAATCAGAACGAGAGCAAAGCTGGACACAGAAACAGAAAGGTCTTTTATCCCACATGTTAACCACGATGACTCAGAGGATAGAAAACAGAAAACCTCTTACAAGAAATTTGCATGTGGAGTGAAAGGAAAAGGGCGGTTGGAAGGGCACGAACTCACCCTGCATGAGGAAAGTGCTGAGCAGCTGATCAGTGGCCACGGGTTTGATCTCTGTACGCAGGTTGACGTAGCGACCGACCACCAGAGGCGCCCTCCTGAACCCAAGGATCCTGAAGACACACCAGGAAGGAAATATCCAAGGATTACAGATGAATGAGTGCGAATAACGCCCAGCAGTGATGCTCACTCGCCTGTCCAGGTGAAAAGCAGCCACCTCTGCGTTGTGTCTGTCGTATCCTGCGTATGGCTCTCCTTCAACCACATAATCTCTGTTGTATCTGAGCAGGAAAAACAGCGTAAGAACCTGAACAAGAACATTTGTAACTGAATGTCTGACTCCGTCTGACCTCTTGGGTTTAAAGACCACTTTCTGAGCTCCGTCCAGCACCAGCAAGGCTTTGAGCTGGGTGCCCTTATAGCCCACATCGGCGCGCTCTATCCTGGCTGTGCTCAGCGAGGTCAGCACAGCAGCCAGCTCAGGGGTCTCCTCCGGGTACACCTCTCTGGGGCCCACCCACTGACTCGCTATCTCCCACGGAGACTGGAGAGTGTGTGTGAGGCGAGCTCCTCGAGGCAGAGAGAGACCCGACTCCATCTGCGAGGATTATCATGCAACCGACAATAGAAAACTATCGTTAATAATGTAAAGATGGCACATCTCTGTTGAATATGCTCCATGTAAACAGCAGGAGGGAAATCCTGATCTTTCTCTCTGTCGGTAGTTAAAGCTCCATCCAGATGCTGACCTTACGAAACGCCCGCAGGTCCCGGCGGCTGGCTGCAGAGCCCTCGCCTCCATCTAGCAGGAAGATCTTGGCCAGGCCCAGCAGGAGGAGCACGGCACACAGCACCACCACGCGCTGTTTGAGCTTCATCTCCGCGCCACCTGCCCCCCGCCGCGTTGGTCCCTCGCAGTGGTCCCCCCCTCACCGCTGATGCATGGCTCCTGTAAGTGACCGTCTCCCACCAGCCAAGCCCACCCTGGAGGAGGAAACCTTCCAAGAGACGAGAGATCCGCTGCCTTTCCCCGTCTTACCTAGGAGGGGATGAGGGGAAAAATGAGAGGAGGGACGGAACCAGGACAGCTGTGCTGCTGGTGATGTTGAGAAAGAGATTGATTTGCTGCCTCGATGGTCCACTTCCCCTCCTAGGGGCAGATGACGACCCAGTTCTGCAGCTCGGCGAAAGCCTGCACAGCGTATAACCCTGTTTCCAAAAAAAACACAGGACCTAAAAGTGGAGAGCAGATAAAACAGGAGGGACTGCTATGGAAACCCTTCAGCTCTAAGCTAAACCCTGTAGCCAGCTGCAATAAAAAAAATAAAAATCTATCATTGTTTCCGGGAGACAGAGTCAAAAACCTGACCTGCAGTCTGATGGCAAAAATCCCTAATGCTCTCCTGAAATAAAGGACATCATCCTCTAGGCCACAGAGGGAGCATCCAGGTTTTTATCTCAGCTGACAATAGCTCATCACGGTGAAAGAGCGCAAACTTCCATTAAAGCTCAGCAGCATAAAGAGGTTAAGAAGCAGCATATGCTTCAATACCCATGATGATACCGTGTGACATTCAGAGCAGGAAAAACACTGAGCTTGCAAAACTAAAACAGTCTGAGAGAAGTGATGCAGCACACAGCTGTTCCTCCACCCTACCTGCACCAGATCAAATGTTTTACTCCTTTACACACACAGGACAACTTCACCTGCAAGACTCCAGGAAAACATCTACCTGTGATGTCATTGCTTGATACTCCAATGACATGAAAAGCCCCAAAACTTTATTCATTTCCAACAAATCTGGACTTTATTGTAAATTAGCAGAAGAGCCACTGAGGAAAGAAAAGAAAGTTTTCTAAAAGCCATAAAATGGATGCAGCAATAGCGCGGATGATATTCTGCTCGGGCGAGATAATGTAAACTAAGAGCTGCGCCTATCGATTTTTGTTCCTTTATTTTTTTTTTTTTTTTTTAAATATATAATTCTGGTATATTAACATTTTTAAATAAATAAACATTTGAATTACAGAAAAAAAATGTATTTTCATTTTATATGCATTAAATATTCCAAAGAGTCAAAGTTAGAAAATAATCCACTGGACTTTGTTTCCAAGTTTGGAGACGTTTCGCTTCTCATCCAGGAAGCTTTTAAATTCAAAATGTTTGGATTAGCGCCGAGCTCCAGGCTTTTATAAAAGCCTTTATATGGCTTAGAAAACATGCATGTTGAAGCTAGAAAACCAACCTATTACAAGGCTTTTGTTAGGCTGCGATTGAGGTCTTCGTGAGCGGGGAGGAGCGCTGACGGACGATGTGGAATCTGGGGGTCAATCTGAAGGATCAGAGGTAGAACTGGGTAATTAATCAGTTTTATCAATAGAGAAAATCTGGATTTATTTTGCCCACCAATGCACTTCTTGGGCTGATCTACCAGTGTGGGATTCCCCAACTGCAAACAGTTAGTTATATTTTTTATCTTTTTACAAGCAGGTTTCACAGATTTACCTGCATTAATATCAACTTCCAGAGGGGATGAATAGATATAAATGCTAGTTTTAAAAGTAATATAAGTTCATTTTTTTTTTAAACTAGAATATTACAATTTAGTAGGAACTACTTTGCAAAGAATTTACAGAAAATTCATTTAAAAGCAGACAGAAACGTAACGTAAAGGTGTGACAGCTGTTACCACAGCAAAAGGTTTTCTATTATATGTTGACTTTAAAAACAGATGCATGCCACACCTTTCAGATAACTCTTGATTATAACTTTCTCCTTCATCTTGGTCAGACACAGTCCAAGTTATATAAATATGAAGGCTGTTGTTTAAACACAATATGTGGCTTTTGTGCTTTTAATTGCATTTCAGGAAGGAAAACAGCACAATAGTGTTATGGATGACAGGGTTAATAGATGTGGATCATAGTCAGGTCACATTATAAAAACCAGTAAAACCTGCACAATAAACTGGTTTATAGTCAGAGCATTTAATCTCTCATGGGTCCAAAGGAAACAACTATCCCAGAATCTCTGCTAATAGCCTCCTGATTCACACTGACCGGTTTCCTCCATTTAAACCTGGAATATCAGAGTAAAAACCTCGATCTGTTTGTTAAATGTTTCTGTAAATGAGGCTAAATCGCGGCTAGCAGTGGGAATTAGCCAGGTTACCTGCATCCCCAGCATGACGCGTTAGCCACGCAGGCAGCGGCGGTAAACAGTCGCTGCTGTTTAACAGCTCAGAGGAAAACCAAGCCAGCGGCTAATATCACCCACACAGCATGAGTCTGACACCTTTCATGTTTTCCGAAGCGACACGCGCGTTTTCACAGTTCGCTAAATCCTCCACACCCTCCCGGACAGAGCTAACAACTCAGCAAAGCGATTCTCATTGATGGTGTTAGCTAAAGATGTCGCTAGCAGGATAGCTTCTGCTGCTGCGGCTCACTTACCTTATGCTCTTTTTATGCGACTCATCATCAATGTGGCGGCCGCTGGTTTTCTTTGATAATGTGAAAGCAAACAATACGTCACTCTGGGTAAAAAATGAAAGCTAATGTCATTTTTCCACAGTCCACTCGCTCTATCTCCCCTCTCTCCTTCGATCCCTGCGCTGCTGTGAGGATTCTCTTCCTTCTCCTGGTGCTGCAGTGGCTGCAGCTGCCCGCCAGATGGCGGTGTTTCACCGTGGCGCTCAAACGCAACAGGCATCTCAATCATCGAAAAACAGAATGCTGTTTTCTTTTCTTATTTTTTTATACTATAACCAACGTGTAGATTGTTCCTTATGTTCCTAACAGAGCACTTCGCTCTCAATCTGCAGGTTCACTAGTGGTTCCTAGAATTTCTAAAAGTAGAATGGGAGGCAGATCTTTTATTTATCAGGCTCCTCTCCTGTGGAACCAACTACCAGTTTTAGTCTGTGAGGCAGACACCCTGTCTACTTTTAAGGCTAGGCTTAAAACTTTCCTTTTTGATAAAGCTTATAGTTAGAGTGGCTCAGGTTATCCTGAGCTATCTCTATAGTTATGCTGCTATAGGCTTAGACTGCTGGAGGACATAGGGACCCCTTTTTCATCATTCTGCTTCATTCTATCTCTATTCTCCCACTCTGCAGAATCTGTTAGTTCAATCTCTAACGTTCTGCTCTCTCTGCTTTTTCTCATAGTAGCTTCATCTGGTCTGTTCCTGTTTGGCTGTGACTCCATCCTGGAGAGAAATATCAGCTGTGCTGCTGCCATCATCACCTTTGTTTCTAGATGTTGGAGCTTGGCCTGTTTTTCAGTCTAAACCTGTTTCTCTGACTGTGACTGAGTGGATGTGCTCTCTTCATCCTCTGACATGGGAGCTGGCTCGGTGCTCGTCTGCCTGGGTGTGTGTTTCCTGGACGGGGCCGCCTTTTACAGCTGCTGTTTGTATTTCTGCTTCTGTCTCCTTGAACCCCAGTCGGCCTCAGCAGATGGCCGCTCACACTGAGCCTGGTTCTGCTGGAGGTTTTTTCCTGTTAAAAGGGAGTTTTTCCTCTCCACTGTTGCTACAAACATGCTTAGTGTGAGGAATTGTATTTGAGTCAATGAGTCGATGCAATCAGCTGGTTTTCCTTAGATAGAAAACTTTGAATCAGTTTGACTGGATGATCTGGTGAACTGGAAAGAGCCTTGAGATGACATGTGTTGTGAATTGGAGCTATAGAAATAAACTGAATTGAATTTACAACAGACAAGGTATCGGCATCAGATATATATAAACCTGGAAAACCTGTACATGCCAACTCAGGCTGCTTCCATGTTTACAGAAAGGACACAAAGAAAAACAAAAAAAATGTTTATCATATTATGCAGTTCTGCATCTTGTTCTTTGTCCTTCAATTTTAGAGATAAGAAGAGGTGGCAGAGTTCCTTTTGAAAAGTAAGGCAAAGATTGTTGGACTTTAAGAAAATTACATTTGTGAATGAAAAACTTTCCCATGATGATTATTACATTTAGTATTCTTTCAAATTTCGTTTCTTTTCTCAGAGTACAGACTGCTGTTGTTGAGTCACACAAGTTCACACGTGCGTGCAGGCATGTGTGTGAGACCCAAAACCACACAACCAATACATCTGATAGAAAACTATGAATATTTTAATAAACCATATTCAGAATGAGTATAACACATCATGCACCCTAACGTTTTTTTATGATTACAGAGGGAATTCCAGCATTTTATCAAACTCGACATTTATTTTCACACTCATTTCTGAACTCCTTTATCACTCATTTTTGAGTTTGATGTTTTTTTTACCTGCTATTTGTGGAGGTGGTGACCTGAATTTGTAGTAGTCCCTTGATGAAACATTGCTACATTATGTGCAATAAAGACAAACCAAACCACAAATTTTAATATAAAAATCCTATCCCTAAAATGCCATCACAACGTTTAGAATTTTAAGTGTGTCTCAGCCCCCCCCCCTTCAGTGTCCACCATATTGGATCAGTCCATTTGCTGCACATGTTCAGAAAGGTCCAAACAGACAGCAGCAAACCATTTGAAAACAAACCATGCAAAGAGCAGTGTTGCCAACTTAGCGCTTTAGTCGCTATATTTAGCCACTTTTCAGACCCCTCTAGCACTTTGAGTTCTAAAAAGCTCCTAGCGCCAAATCTAGAGACTTTTTTCAGCTACTGGAGACTTTGGAGACAACATCAAATAATGGATGTCTATTCTATTAACATTTCTCTATCTGTAGAATAGCTCTGTTTTATGTGTTGTCTTCTCCATTCAGAGGGCCCCCTGCCTGTCTTTGCCCAGGGCCCCAAATTTCCGAAATTCACCCCTGATTACAGCTGGATCTCAGTAAACTTGAATATAACCCATATATCACTTAGTAATTCAACACAGAGAGGGAAACTCATTTATAAAATAATTAGTTATACTTCCAAGTAGAAATCCGTATTAATCTTCATTATAAGGCTTATAGCTAAAGACTATCAATGTAGATTTCTAATACAAAATGATTATAGAATGCTTATGTTATATGCATAGGTTACCACATGATTAATGTCTATAATGTCCAGACAGACTAAACCACAAAGGTTATCATGATAGTTAATATGATTTACTAGACTGCTATTGTCAGAAATGTTAATAAGGTATAATGAAAGGAGCGGAACAAATATTGATATCATTAACCTTAAGATTAATATGAAAATAAGTCTTTTAAAGGTTTGTCAGAGATTCGTACCACTTGGCGTTGAGTTCAAGGCTTTATAGAGTGGACCAACAAAGTCTTGTTATTGTTTAGAAAACATGCTAATTGAAACGGACGAACGGGTCCATCTATTTGGAATGAGGGTCATTTGGCTTCTTTTGTCAGCCTGTAATGCCCCATACCTGTCTATGTCTCTGAAAGGGGGTCGTTAAAGGGAATTGTTGACCTGCAATTTGCATGTTTTCTAAACAAAAACGAGTTCTTGTTGGGCTACGGTACAAAGCCTTTAACTCAACGCCACTTCTCACATTTACAATTGAAAAAGCTTCCTGGATGGGAGGAGAAATGTCTTCAAACTTTGAAACAAAGTCCAGTGGATTGTTTAACTTGTTTGGAATGACTGACCTGGATGACTGAGAGTCTGCACCAGCAAACTCTGTATTTCATATAGAAACTAAGGTTACGGAGGCTGGAAGGAGAGTGGAGAGGCTCACTATGTTTCATCAAACTCATCTGAGTGCAAGATAACTTGGACCTTTGCTGAGATTCTGATTTCCTTTTCTAACACCACTTGGCCATCTGCCAGAAGAAATACCTATCAATACCCCTGGGAACTGGAAACTGGCTCCACCTAAAATCTCTAGAGAATATATGGCTGTTGTCAAGAAGAGGATAGGAAAACCAGAGTAACCAACCCTTCAGCCGAGTCACAGAGTTACGCCGTATAGATGCAGCAATTCATGCAAGAGAGTGAATAGGCATACCTGGATGGCATATCTGTGCTTTTCTTTAACTTGGTCTTATATTCTAGTTTTCTAAAAGCAAAAAAATAAAAAATAAATAAATAAATAATAATAACAATAATAATAATAATAATAATATGAACTTACTTTAACTACCAAAACTAAAAGTACCTGTTAACAATATCACTGCAAATAAGCCACATCATCCATTCAGGGCAGGGCAATAATATTTGATCAATATACAGTGGGGCAAAAAAGTATTTAGTCAGCCACCAATAGTGCAAGTTCTCCCACTCAAAAAGATGAGAGAGGCCGGTAATTTTCATCATAGATATACCTCAACTATGAGAGACAAAATGAGAAAAAAAATCCAGAAAATCACATTGTCTGATTTTTAAAGAATTTATTTGCAAAATATGGTGGAAAATAAGTATTTGGTCAGTTACAAACAAGCAAGATTTCTGGCTCTCACAGACCTGTAACTTCTTCTGTAAGAGGCTCCTCTGTCCTCCACTCGTTACCTTCATTAATGGCACCTGTTTGAACCCGTTATCAGTATAAAAGACACCTGTCCACAACCTCAAACAGTCACACTCTAAACTCCACCATGGCCAAAACTAGAGAGCTGTCAAAGGACACCCGAAACAAAATTATAGACCTGCACCAGGCTGGGAAGTCTGAATCTGCAATAGGTAAACAGCTTGGTGTGAAGAAATCAACTGTGGGATCAATTATTAGAAAATGGAAAACATACAAGACCACTGATAATCTTCCTCGATCTGGGGCTCCACGCAAGATCTCACCCCGTGGGGTCAAAATGATCACAAGAACGGTGAGTAAAAATCCCAGAACCACACGGGGGGACCTAGTGAATGACCTGCAGAGAGCTGGGACCAAAGTAACAAAGGCTACCATCAGTAACACACTACGCCGCCAGGGACTCAAACCCTGCAGTGCCAGACGTGTCCCCCTGCTTAAGCCAGTACAGGTCAAGGCCCGTCTCAAGTTTGCTAGAGAGCATTTGGATGATCCAGACGATGACTGGGAGAATATCATATGGTCAGATGAAACCAAAATAGAACTTTCTGGTAAAAACTCTACTCGTGCTGTTTGGAGGAGAGAGAATGCTGAGTTGCATCCAAAGAACACCATACCTACAGTGAAGCATGGGGGTGGAAACATCATGCTTTGGGGCTGTTTTTCTGCTAAGGGACCAGGACGACTGATCCGTGTGAAGGAAAGAATGAATGGGGCCATGTATCGTCACATTTTGAGTGAAAACCTCCTTCCATCAGCAAGGGCATTGAAGATGAAACGTGGCTGGGTCTTTCAGCATGACAATGATCCCAAACACACCGCTCGGGTAACGAAGGAGTGGCTTCCTAAGAAGCATTTCAAGGTCCTGGAGTGGCCTAGCCAGTCTCCAGATCTCAACCCCATAGAAAATCTTTGGAGGGAGTTTAAAGTCCATGTTGCCCAGCGACAGCCCCAGAACATCACTGCTCTAGAGGAGATCTGCATGGAGGAATGGGCCAAAATACCAGCAACAGTGTGTGAAAACCTTGTGAAGACTTACAGAAAATGTTTGATCTCTGTCATTGCCAACAAAGGGTATATAACAAAGTATTGAGTAACTTTTGTTATTGACCAAATACTTATTTTCCACCATATTTTGCAAATAAATTCTTTAAAAATCAGACAATGTGATTTTCTGGATTTTTT